GTAATGTAATGTAATGTAATGTATGTTTGTCGGTATATGTATACACACACATATATATAATATTTGGACATAAGTAAATAAAGAAATAAATATAACCATATATATCTGGACATATATATATATATATATTTATTTATGTATACAAGGACATGATGCCAGCGATGCAGGGTCAGTGCGCTGACGTTGCCGCGTGGGAGCCAAAAATACATTTGTATATATATATATATATGTATATATGTGCATAGCTGTTACTGTCTTTTTTCATATGCATATGTATATAAATATATAGATGCATGTGTATACATGTGTTATATATATATATACACAGGTTTACAAGTTACCAGCAGCAACAACAACACAAACAACGACAACAACACCAACACCAACACCAACAGCAACAACAACAGTAGCAACAAGAACCACAACAGCAACAGCAACAGCAACAGCAACAGCAACAGCAACAGCAACAACGTCAAGCACAACAACAGCAGCAACAACAACAACATCGCCAACAACACCAACACCACCACCACCACCACCACCACCACCAACAACAACAACAACAACAACAACTCGTCCAATGGGGGGAATGGAGGCGTGTTTAAGGTATATGATGAACCGGAATCGTCACACGGAGGAGCGTGTTTAAGATATATATATATATATGTATGTATATTCCGATGAACGGGAAGCGTCATACGAGGGGCGAGTTGAAGATATATGATGAGCCGGAATCGCCAGATGAAAAGGCGTGTTGAAGATGCATGATGAAACTGGATCGCCAAACGATGGGGCATGCTTAAGAAATATGACGAGCCGGTCTCGCCACATGCGGGGCGTGTTTAAGATGCAGTATGACGCTTGGAGCAAAACAATACCCTGCAAGTTGGAACTCCCAATAGCTTGACACAGCGCAAAAAACATGCCAATTGTACTTACCCAATATCTTGACGCAAAGCAAGACCCTGCACATTGTAATAATAGCTTGATGCAAAGCAAAAGCCGGCAAGGGGTAATTCCCCAATAGCTTGACACACGGCAGGAGACTCGAAATTGCACTCCCCCAATAGCTTGGGCTACCCCACAAGTTAGAAGTCCTCAATGGCTTGACACGATGTATAAAATCCTGCAAATGGTAATTCCAGATAAGCTTGACGCAAGGACAGGAGCCTCGAATTCGCACTCCCCCAATAGCTTGGGACAAAACAATACTCTACAAATTGGAATTCACCAAAAGCTTGACGCAGCGCAAAACCCTGCAAGTTGAAATTCCCCAATGGCTTGAAACAATAGCTGGACACAGCGCAAAACCAATTGTCATTCCCCACTGGCTTGAAACAAAGCAAGATCCTGCAAATTGTAATTCCCCAATAGCTTGACACACGACAGGAGCCTCGAAATAATTCCCCAGTAATTTACGGGAAAACGCCACCCTGCTAGTTGCAAAAACACGGCGTGGCCGGCGGTTCGCAGGGGCTGGATCCCCCCCCTCCGCCCCCGCAGAAGAAACAACCAACAGATGCAAAATAAAGTCTTCACAGAAATGCTGCACATATATATATATATATACTTATATGTGTATATTGAGACATAAGTAGGCCGCTCTTAACTTGGACAAATCTAAGTAGGACAGTACCAAAGCAAAGCGGCCGTGCCCCGGGCAAGTCGACGGAGTCGCGAAACAAAAAGTACTAAGTTTGTAAAAAATAGATGCATCTATGTCAACCGACTAACCCTCCAATGAAGAACCCGACGCCGAAGCTTTCGGGAATAACTAATAACACAAGCAACGAATAAACCAGTAAGGGCAGCAGACGAGTCCCTTGTGAAAAAAACGAATAAACCAATAAAGCAATCACCGGTAAACCACAAACCAATAGACCGACAAACCAATTAATCCAAGTACAAATAGCCAATAAAGCAGTAACCAACGAACCAATAACCAACGAACCACTAAACCAATAATCAATAAACCAATGGATTCTGCTCATAGGGAGAGGGAGAATCGGTTCATAGAGGGGAACCGATCAACCAATATACACCAATCAACCACAATAAGCAATAAGCTTCCCGTATGGAGAAGGGATGTTTATTGGTTTATTGGGTATTGCTTCACTGGTGGTTGATTTATTGGTTTAGTGAGTCTGGTTTTTGCCGCTGTTGGAGTTATGACTGTTGTATCAACAACAGCAATAAACCCAATAAGCCAATGAGCAATACACCAACAACCCATTCGCTTTGGCCCGTAGCAAAAAGAGATTGGTCTGTTGGTTTAGTGACTATGGTTTCTGCCACGCTCTTGAGTTATAACATTTGTATCGATAATGAGAGCGGGAAAGCCAATGCAGCACTACACTCAATCAATAAGCGCCAACAAACCAAGAACCAGTAAACCAATTGAGCAGAGAGCCAAACCATCGAAGAGCTAGCCAGACTAGGGCCGGCATTAACCAATGGGCGCGCAAGCGCGCGCAAGCAACAGTCGCATGCGCGTAAGCCTTGAGCACCGGATGCTTCAAACACCGATGCGCGGAAGGGGTGTGAGCAAGGGTATCTTGCGGAAGGGGTGTGCGCAAAGACCTGCCATGCGGAAGGGCGCGCGGAAGGCTTAAAGGGCGAAGGGATTGGTTTACTGGTTTATTGGTTGATTCGTAAGTCTTTTATTGGCTTTCTTTGTTGTTGGTTGTTTGTTTTCAGGTAGAACAGAGGACCCCATAGAGGAGGGTACTCATATATATGTTTGTGCGCTGTGCGTTCTGCGCCCCTCCCAGCCCCAATGGTATGGGTCTTAAATACAAGTGCCTGGACCACAGGGGGGAGGGCGGGTGGGGGTTCTCCTTCCCCACCTGGAGCACACAGATGCCGAAGCACAGAACCGCGGAAGCGGGTTGTCCCGCTCGTGGCACAAACCAGGGGAACGAAGTAGAGAAGAGGTCATGCAAGGCACACCCCCACACGGGGACAAGGACATATAGCACTTCCTTACCAGGACAGCACATACTAAAAGAGAACCGCACCTGTTCCACACAAGCGAGGCGGAGTAAAAGTGGTCCATAAGTGTGCGTGTATGTGTGTGGGTGTGTGTGTGTGTGTGTGCGTGTGCCGCACACACGGTTCCAGAGGCAGAAGAAAAGGAAACTCAGTCCTGTTTGACGGAGGGGGTGGGGCGGGGGTTCTCCTTCCTCATCTGGACCACACACACGGACGGAGAATCACAGGGGCATGTGTGTGATATGTATGTATGTATGTGGTTGTGCGTATCTATACATCGGGGCCATACTTACACAGGCACATCTGCGTGTGTGTGTGTGTGTGCTCATGTCATTCATTAGAAACGAACTTCACGCGATCATAAGGACAGCACACAGATCATAAGGACAGCACGCACGGTTCCAGAAGCAGAAGAAAGGGAAGCCCAATCCTGTTCCACAGGGTTCTCCTTCCATCTGGACCACACA